GAGACTCCATCAACCTGGCTCACACTGTTTGCCCTGCTCTGGAAATCCCGAAGCTCTGTCCCACCCACTATTGACAGTGGCTTTTCCATATGAATGGATGGTTTGGCTCAAACTTCAAAACTTCCTAAATCCTCTCAAACAAGCAACAGCCAGCCTCAGTGATCCCCCAACCCCTGTACCTCTTGCTAAGTGTCCACAAGCCCCATTCTAGCAGTGCCAGCCTAGATTCACAGCTTGGCTTTGCCTAGGAATCTCCAAGCCCAGCACAAGTGACAACCATCAGGTTGCTTTATAGCTCAAACAGTATGGCCCCTGGCAAAACATAGGTGGGGGTTGACCTTGGCCTGCACCACCTAGGAAAAACCAGGCCCAATGCACCCAGTGGACAGCTATAGACCACATCAGAGCATCACCACTCTGCCATGGCACAGGTGATCCTCCATGGAGGGTGGAAGTTGGTGGTCAGTGGTCACAGCCAAACCTTGTAGCTGACTGGCCTGGGTTAATCCCTCCCATTGATCTGCCAACAGCAACCAAGGCTCAACTACAAGAGGAGAGTGTACTCAGCCAATACAAAGGGCATACCTTGAGTACCCAGGTTAGGTGATAAGGGCGGCTCTGCCTCTGAACTATACAGGACACCTACTATATTAGGCTGAGCTACCAATGACAGGGAGTCACAGCAGCTTTAACTAATACATAGAAGCAAACACAGGGAGACTGCCAAAATGAGGAGACAGACAAACATGACCCAAACGAAAAAAAACAGATCAAAACTCCAGAAAAAGAACTAAGTAAAATGGAGATAAGCAACCTGTCGGATGCAGAGTTCAAAACACTGGTTATAAGGATGCTCAAGGAACTTAGTGAGAACCTCAATAGCATAAAAAAGCTCAGTCAGAAATTAAGAACACATTAATTGAAATAAAGAATAATTTACAGGGAAAGAACAGTAGAGTGAATGAAGCCAAGAATCACATCAATGATTTGGAACATAAGGAAGCAAAAAACAACCAATTATAACAACAAAATGATAAAAGAATTTTTTAAAAAAAGAGGATAGTGTAAGCAGCCTCTGGGACAACTTCAAGCATTCCAACATTTGCATTATAGGGGTGCCAGAAGGAGAAGAGAAAGGGCAAGAATTTGGAATTATATTTGGAAAAAATAATGAAAGAAAACTCCCCTAATTTGGTGAAGGAAGCACAGAGCATCCCAAACAAGATGGATACAAAAAGGCCCACTCAAAGACACATCATAATTAAAATGCCAAAGCTTAAAAATAAAGAGAGAATTTTAAAAGCAGCAAGAGAGAAGCAGTTAGTCACCTACAGGGGAGTCCCCATAAGACTGTCAACTGATTTCTCAAAAGAAACTTTGCAGGCCAGAAGGGATTGGCAAGAAATATTCAAAATCATGAAAAGCAAGGACCTACAGCTAAGATTGCTCTATCCAGCAAAGCCATCATTTAGAATCAAAGGACAGGAAAAAAAGAGCTTTCCAGACAAGAAAAAGTTAAAGGAGTTCATCACCAAACCATTATTATATGAAATGTTAAAGGGACTTACTTAAGAAAAAGATCCAAAGTATGAACAGTAAAATGGCAATAAATACCTATCTATCAACAATTGAATCTAAAAAAACAAACTAAGCAAACAGGAACAGAGACAGAATCATGGATATGGAAAGCATTTTGATGGTTGCTAGACAGAAATGGGTATAAGGGAATGGGTGAAGAGGTGAGGGGATTAAGAAGTACAAATAGGTGGTTACAGAATAACCATGGGGACATAAAGATGGTGTAGGAAATGGAGTAACCAAAGAACTTATGGACCCCATAGACATGAACAATGGTGTAGGGATTGCCTGAGGGAGTGGGGATGCTGGGTGGAGGGGGGCAAAGGGGAATAAATTGGAACTGTAATAGCATAATCAATAAAATATAATTTTTAAAAAAGAAGCATTCTATGCAAGACAAGCTGAGGCTCTCTCTGCCTGGGTTAAACCTACTCCCCACAGGCTAAGACAACAATTATGAACCAACCTTGTCAATGAGCCCTGCATCTGGGCTGCTAATTACAGTGTGGTCTTAAGGACATCAGTTTACTGAAAGATCCTTGATTCAGAATTCTAGTTTATCTTTAGTTAAATTAGTAGCTAGCTAGGAACTAAAATAAATTTTACCCACAAATGAAAATGGAAAATTTCCAGGAAGATAAAGTTAGCCAGATTCACAGGTTTGGAGGAATACTTAGGGGATTTATTTTATGTTGTGGTTGTTATCTAAACTCAAGCACATAAAGAATAACTAAACCGCTTTCTGAAGTATGTTTGAAAGTTTGGTATTAAATCTCAAAAAATGTGACCAAACCAGGTTCAAGTTCCTTAGAGATGGCAGGCACTGTCACTCATTCACTGCCTAATTATTGAGCATCTATTATGCAGCAGGCACTGAATTAAGTCCTGAGGCAAAAAGAATGAATAAGGTAGACAAGGCTCTGGCACTCATGAACTTGACATCCTTGTGGGTGGCACAGACAATAAATAGCAAATAAATAAGATAAAAGGAACACATATCTAATTTTAAAACTGCAAGATAGGGGAGTATATAGATATTATTGACAGAAAATAACAGAGGGTTTCTATCTATACTGAGTGATCAAAAGGGTGACATTTAGGCTGGGATCTGAAGACTAATAGGTTTTATGAAGGGGGTGGGGTAGAGGACAGGGGCAGCATTCTAAACAGAAGAGCATGACAAGAGAAAAACTTTAAGATGTCCTATGTTAAATTATAGCAGGCTAGAGTAAGTGACAAGATTAACCAGTAAACTACAGCAGACCAAAACCAACAAGAGTACTCACATTTCTGAATGTATGTTGAAACTGTGCATCAAGTTTCAGGCAGCCATCTAGAAAGACCAGCTTACCACCAACCATAATATCTGTCTGCCATGAACCTTCCACACTGTTGCCCACAACCAATCCAGAAGCGTCCCTCATGGACTTTTCCCTTATGGACTATCTACTATCCCTGAACTTTCTCCCCTTCACCTTTTCCTGCCCTGTTTATCTATAGCCAATGTAAATTCTTAAAAAAAACAACTTACATCTTTCTTCCCCAAACTCATTGTATGAAAAAGGCCCATCAGCCCTAGGATGGCAACGTGTCTGTATTCTCCATCTTACGCTGCTGCTGCTGCTGCTGATGATGCTGCTGGTTTAGACTGCATGCCCCAGAACCTGGTCCTTTTCTGGCTACAATGAGGCTCAATAATCCCCTTCTGTCAGGGCAACTTTCAGCCTTAAAGATTTTTGTTAATCTTTAAGGCAGAAAATGCACAGATCTTGAAGAAGGAAAGAAATTGGTGGGCCTTAGGACCTGAGAAATGGCCAATATGACCAAAACACAGCGACCAGCTTCAGGCTGGGGAGTAGGATGGTTCATACAGAGCTTGACGGGCTGGTGGGAAGCGTTTGGATTGTACTTTAGAAGCAAGAGGAAGCTTTCAAGGAGTAACATGGTAGGGAGAGGAGTGTTGGTGACAGCAGTGCAGGAGAGAACCACAGGGAAAGCAGATCAGTTAAGAGGCCATATCAGTAACCCAGGCAAGAAATGCTGGCAGTTGGACTGGGGTACTAGCATTGGAAATACAAACAAAATCATTATATAAGTTAAAGGTAAAACCTATATAACTTTGATAGATTAGATTAAGAGGTGAGAATCAAGACCAACTCCCAGATTTCTGGCTTGAAAAAAAATAAATGGATGGTAGTGTCATTTTTAGGGAAGATTGGTGAATAAATTTTGAAGGAGAAATCAGAAATTCACTTTGGAAATGTTAAGTTTGAGATGCCCCTGAGATACCCCACTACCCATCTATGGCTCTGTCTGTGGGCAAATACTTTAAAAGGTAAAAGACAAAACTAGTCCTTCTATTTCTTCAGGTTGTTATTGGCCACAGTGCTCATATTAAGATATTTGTGAAAAATGAAAAGGGCTTTTCAATTTATTTCATACTTATCATACTAAATGGGGAATTTTTACTGACTAGTAAACTGGCTGGCAGAAGGTGAACTTGAGCTGACATAACAAGAACTTGTTTCTTGGGCATCTTTAAGAATAAAAGCCTGGGATATCATTTCTTTAGCCAACAATAACAAAAAAGAAAAGGAGAAAGGAAAGAAAAGCAGTGTTCTAATTCTCTTTTTAAATGCTAACACTCTTCCTGTCTCAGTGGTGAGGCAACACTCGTGGGAGAGGGTGGGTGGATTTCTGAAGGACACAAACCAACTGCACAGCTGCTTAAAAGCACAACTGCTGCTTAAAAATCCACCAGCACAAGAACCACCTTCCCCTGCTTTTCTTGTGGTGATAAGCGGTTCTTTCTGCAGCTATGTGGACACAGTGTTTATCTGGGACATTTTCCAACAGTGTCTTGCAACAGAATCTTGCTATAAAGTTAAATTGTGTAAAACTAACAATGATTTTTGTATGTGCAAGGGAGGCTAGAAATACCAGGCATAACAAAAGCAAAATGAACACAATCTGTTTTCCATTTTTAAGATAATTCCATTTCCAAGACAAATGTAAAAGTTTGGAGTTTAAAAAACAAAATGGACACTTATTATGGGTCTAGTCTATTAGTGATCACATATAAGGGCTATACCTCAGCTGATATTATTCTGGCCATTTTTATAACCCAATGGTGGTGATTACATCAGCAATACAAACTATTGCTGAATTCTGGTCATTCTGTTAAGTGATATGGTCAATATAATTTTTTTAACTTCTCACCTTGGAGTTGTTTTAATTTCAAAAATCATGCTTCAAAGATTTATATTTATCTAGAAACATCCAAACTTGTAAGAATTTCTATGAGTTTGAGTTAAACTGACGACAATTGGCTGAAAACAAAATCCCAACAAATTAAGAAAATGCTCCAGAAAATGACAGTTTTGCACTTTATTTTATACATTACAATCAAAGGAGGAGGCATAATGGGGTTACATGAAATTCATTGCTAATGCATTAGAGAGGTGGGAGAAAGCAAAGCAGGGAGATCTCTGGGACTGGATAAAAAGTGAAACAAACAGACACATACTTCTTTTACAAAGGTGGGCATAAAAGAGTTAACAGTTGATAATTAACGTGATAGTAACAACAAGGGGATTTTTGGTCCCTGTTTTGTCTTCTAAGTTAAAATTGTTCACGTTGCCCTAAGGTTTGGAAACATAAACAAATATTCAAAATAATAAGCTTACTGATGTTCTATGAGATTTTCAATGTGCTATTCCTCACTAGGAAGGCATATTTCAATAATAAGCTATGCAAAACTGCAATGAACAATGTGCACTGAAGTAGCAATGCCATTAATCCTGTACATCCATCCACAATGTATTGCCTCAGATGATAGGTGTTTCTAATTTTCATTGAATAAACTTGTGCCTACAGCATATCCTAAAAGAAGTAATCAGAGTTCAATCTATTAAGAAATCTATGTTTCCAGACTTTGTGGTTACACCTTTATAAACACCTCTGCTATTTATATTAGACCAGAAAAAAAATGAATACTAAAAACGAGGTAATTAAAAAAAAAAGATTGTTTCTTCTTTCAAACAGTTCTACACCAAAACATTTTGCTGAAATGAAGTGACTTTTTTTTTTATTTTTAGAGAGGGGAGGGAGGGGAAAGAGAGGGAGAGAAACACTGATCAGTTGTCTCTCATATGCACCCCAACCAGAAATCGAACACGCAACACCAGCATGTGTCCTGACTGGAACAGAATTGGTGACCTTTTGCTTTGTGGGAGACTGTCCAACCAAGCCACACACCGGTCAGGACTGAAATGAAGTGATTTTTAATCTATATAAAACAGACTCTCTAAACGATACTCAGGATAAATTACATATTTGGTTTTAAAATATATTTGAATTTAAACAAGTTTTACTCAATGATTTCAATAAATGAAGCACTCCAGAATACAATGTGGAAGTGCAATAATTATGTGATAACTTCTTAATAGCCCAAGAAGATAAAGACATCTTTCAAATTTGGAAAGAAATTAAATCTTTCTATAGTATTAAGCCATAAAGGCTATTCTCCTTTATAGGCTACAATATTGTTGTCAGTTTCATATACTTTTACTTTATAAAGAACTCCCACAGGAAGAAATTTTTGGAGATTTTCCCAGATATATACGGCTACATTTTCTGTTGTGCTGTAGAAGAAAAGGAAAGATCAAAAGACTAATAAGTAAAATGTCATGTTTAATATTTTCAGAGAACAGAAATTCTATTTTTAAAAAGGTGTCATTAAACGAACTTAAAAATCAAGAAATAATTAGATAAAATGTTAAAATCAATTCTTCTTTCTTACTATATATTAGGTAAAACAGTCACACCCACCTTACAACATCTGCAAAATATGGCACATCTAGATCCAAATTCTTATGATCAAGGGGCTTCATAATTGCCTCCTATAGGCAAAACAAAGGCAAAACACCAATTCTATTTATGACTCAAATTCCAAAGTGTTCCACCTTTGCCTCTAAAACTTATCACTGAACCACTAACTCAATACATTTAAGTATTTTATCTGTCTTACAAAGCATTTTCAGAAAGTTTAAAATTGTGAAATAAAGTAAGTTCTCCATAATGACTGGTTATCCTAATTATTGAAGGCACAGAGGTTAAAAAACCAAGAAGTAGAGAATTCACTGGAGCTTTCTCGTAACAAGCCACTGTGATTTAGAATTCAATTTACCCTTTCCTGTATTCTGTCCAAAAAGTTACCAGAAATACTTCTCCATAACAGTCTCACCTTCAAGACAATGCCACAATGTCAATGGACAAAGATTCAGTGAGTACCACATTTTATAAAGGAGGCTGACTGAAATTATGTTAATAGTTCTAAATTTGTCCTATAAGGAGTAATTTAAGAATAACCTTGAACTCTTAGAAGAAAAAATATAAAACATAAATGCTATTGTTTCCTAATGCTCACATATATTAACAAATGTTTTCCCATATGAATGGCCAAGAATTGTTATTGCCTTAATTCTAAGTTTTTATCTAAACTGTACAAAACTAAATATTTTCTAGGCATTTACTTTTAGCCAGATTGTACAAAATCTAAGCAATCCAATTTTCCATATAGTATGGTCCAACAAGGGTACATTAATAATAAAAATAGCAATCATTTTTGAGTAAAACCAGAATCATAAAAATAATAGGTCCTAAACCAAACTAACTTTAAAATAGATCAAATGATATCCACATGGATATCAATAAAATAATTATGTTTGTTTTATCTTCAATTCCAGTTCAAGTCCCAACTTTTCCATTGAAGCCTCTTCAACGGAGCTCTTGCTAACTTGACTGTATGCCCTGAAGAGTCACTTTTACTGATGGGAATGTGTGGTGTACTTCAAAGTGCTATACAAAGGTGTATTTGTTTCATCGTATTGCTTGCTTGGTATACTCATATTTCTCATATTGTTGTCTTGTAGTATTGTATAACACTCTGTGAATATGTAGTTTATGACCCAAATAAACGCAAAAACTGTCTTTACAGCTTTCCAGAAGTACTTTGAGCACAGTATACTTTGTTCATTTACTCATTCTTTTTCATTTATTCAACTAACTTACTGAGAACTTAGTTTTTTCAATTTTTTAGTTTATTTAAAAATTTTTTTCACTTATACTTTACATTCAATATTATTTTGTATTGGTTTCAGATGTACAGCATAGTGGTTAGACAATCATATACTTTACAATGTGTGCCCCCAATATTCCCAGTACCTACCTGGCATCATACACAGTTATTATAGTATTATTAACCATATTTCCTGTACTTTACATCCCCCCATTCCCATGACTATTCTGTAACTACCAATCTGTACTTCTCAATTTCTTCACCCTGTGAGAACTTATTATTTACTTTCTAGAAAAAAAATAATATGAGCACTCCATGTGTAAGGGCTATGTCTCATTCATCTCTGCATTCTTAGTACTTAGCTGAAATAGTGATGCAAAATAGGCAAACTTGAATATGTGGATGATAAGTAATCTGAAAGAGGTAATGACAATCAGTAACAGCATTTTATGAAACAAATGCCAAATTTTAGAACAAAAGTAAGACACAGAACTGAAGCAAAGAACTAAATAAACAGGTGAAATGATAGCATAATAAAAACCAAGCTGAAGGAACAATACTCCCACCTTTGTAAAGGATTAACCATATGCCCTAGGACAAGTCAGGTAACTATTAAGCATCTCTCAATCTAAAGCATGAATAAATTGGCTTAGATATCATCAAAGGTTTCTTACAATGAAAGAATTAAATGATACAATCAGTAAGTCCTTTGCTGAACACATTATTTTGTATTATCCTTATAATGAACTGCCCCACTGACTTTATAATAACGCTAGAGTAAATAAAACAGGATCATGTTAAAATCTTCAATCAAAGGCATAAGGAAAATTCAGAGAAAAAGACTTCAAGAAGAAAGCTGCATTTGAGAGAACAGAAGTATTTGTTAAATACAGGAAATCAGGATATGCCAACAACCAATACAATATGAGCATGCTACATTTATTCCTGTGATTGTTAATACAACTGTGACTAATTTTCATCAAGTCACCCAAACACCATTAGAAAAACATGAAAGAGTTCCCCAACTACTCCCCCACTCCCACAACCAATTCCACTCACAACATCACAGGACCTCCGGAGATCCTTAGTTGAGAAAGTGCAAAGGGAACCATCAAATATTATGCTTAGAAGACAGCACATCATAAGCGCCGAACAGCCATTACCTCCATACACCCTTTGAGGTCAGTCAAATTCATAACCATTCCCGTAACAGGATCAATCTAAAAAGTATAAACAAAGGTGAATATTATTACAATATGCTCATCATATTTAAACCTCTGCTAAATTAGTAAAGGCTACACACTATGCAGAAATTGTGCCCACATTTGCCTTCATACCCAACAAAATCATCAGTCTCAACATGGGAGCACCAAATGCTCCAGGCATCCTTTCACCTGTACTACTCTCCTACCTGTCCACATATAGCACAAGAAGATGGCATTTTGGGAGAGGAAAGCCCTGGAATGTCAGCAGCTCACATACTCAAGGGTCAACAGTAAAGCAATACTGACTGGAGCAGAATTTTTCAACATAGAATCTATCATGTTGGCAGAAAGGACCCAAGAAACTGTACAAACCACACAGATATATTCAGCACGTACCTCTCCATGTACTGTCACCACAACTATGGGAAAGAAAACAAAATACCAAAAACCAATATGACTTTCAACGAATTAACATCCAAGCACAAGTTAGCAACATAAATTATTAGATCTCTGCCCTGTAAAGCTATATTTATATTTCCCCCCAAACATCTTCTCTCTTGGTTAAGATCTTTTATCAACCAAAGCAAGAGTCAAACAAGACAGAACAGCTTAGCAGGACCTTTAGCTAAGCAGAGGAGCTTAGCCAAAGCCAAAACGATATAATTCTGCTTATAATGTTGATGTACTGGTTAGGAATCTCCATGAGATAGGATCAAGATGCTGCTCAATCACTGCCTGAAAAAGTAGAAATGTACAGGAAGAAGTCCAGCCACACATCGGGTTGGTCCAATTTGGGGCAGTACCCTTCTAAGCAAAAAAAAAAAAAAACCTACTACTGGACCTAAAACTCTTTGGGGGTTGGGGGGAAGCTAAAACTCTATCCCTTTACTTAGATGAATGTATACAGTTTACAGTAATGCTTTATAAATTAACAAGTGCTTGTATGAAGCATTTGAAAAGTCTTCATAATCAGAATGCTTTACAAATTAATAACGTTTATATTTGTTCAGCTCCATACAAACACCATGGGATATGATATCATAATATGATTATATGAACAAACTAAGAATGAGAGGTATCATATAATAGATCAAGTAAGTGGCACTAACTAATCTAGAAATCCTAATCTTCCAACACTTTTCCTGGTCTTTACTCCATCATACCATATGCTGTAATACTCAATGGCTTATGTACCTGTTTTTTTGAGACATCAGCTATATCTCAAAGAATCAACTCTCTTACTCTTGCATAAATTAATTACTTTCTAGGAACACTGCTGGCAAAGCTTTAGACCCAACCTATCTTCCTACCATACAGCATATTCCTAGCCAATATTCCCTTTTCGTTGGTCATTACTTACTCAAAGAATATAATCTAATTTTAACATGAGCCTCAGCAACACCTAATTAGAATAAAACATGGTGTCAAAAGAATCTCATGTACACTAAGGCCAAAGAAAAAATTTAAACCACTCATTGTTTTGAACTATCTATAACAGAGCAGACAACTAATTGCAAGGTAAAAGTTAAGGCACATCCAACAAAGGCAACAGCTGTTTTCATTTTGAACTTCCATTTAACTTCTCATTCAAGACCCAAAGCATTACTGTTCTCTGTCCATACGACTTTTTACTCATTAAGATTGTATTTGCTAAATATTCTTCTACACTTACTGAAAAGGCTAAAATTGCATCCATTTTCCTCTCACCTTTGTAATTGTGCCCATGACCATTTGGATTGTTACATTTCCCAAACAGTTTTAAGTTTTCTTCATTGCTCAGAGACTTGCTGATCAGGGGGGAAAAAACAAAAACAAAAACAATGTCAACATGACACCAGTTCAAACACCCTTTCTATTCCCTACATTTACTATTTGTTCTAGCCTTTGAAACCCTTCACAAATTATTAATACTTTGCCTCACCACATGGAGAATCATAAATCAATTGGATTTCATTATTCAGCTTTATGCCAGGAAACACTGAATGCTCCCTAATTAGACTAACGTACCATACAAATTAGCATAAACAAACTCAACCTCCTTTTGTTCCACAGCAAGATTCCAAAAACTGATCTGCTCGAGGTCTTTCCATTGTTCAATTCAACAAACATTTACATGAGTACCTACTACATATTAGGCACAGCTGAATGATAAACAAAAGATGCTTATCCTTAAGTGGCTTAAGATCTCATTGCTCCTGAAAAATAATTACATGACCTATTAGTCTCTTTTTTAACAATCTTGCTTTATTATGCCTCAACTACTGCCTACTGATAACTTCACCAATCCACTGAGGGGCATGCAAATAAGGGAAATTTTAAAATTTCAATACTCAATTGTTGTTCTAGGCAGATAACTCTTTGCTTAAGGGATATTTATACCCATATCTATCCAATTTTCTCATCTTTAACGAGTCCTTACTACCGTCGTACATTCAAGCTTTGTTATACAACCCTTTTCTTTTTGAGACCCCCTTTATTATTTCCCTCACCTTCTCTTGCTCCTGCACTTCTTACATGTGGAGTGCTACAGTTTACACAGCTTTTGCACAAAATTATCTCACGGTACGTTCCACAATATTGACCAGATTGTACACTCGACACACAAGCAGTGACATTTGCGTGCTGAACACTGCTGCATCCTGTTAGCTAGTACAAGACCTGACAAGCACGCAAGAAATACATTATTATCCTTATTTTACAGCCGAGTAAGCGGATGCTCGGGGGTGAAACTTACTAATGAGTGGCAAAACTCTCCTCAGAGTCAAAGAAGTCAGAGCTTCTTTAGTGCCATAAAACATTCAGTGTTCTGGGTTCAAATTCCAACTGTGCTGCTTGCTCCCAGAGCTGCCTTAGGAAAAGTGAACATCTGCATTCATGGTATCTTCAGTAAAAGGGGGATAAAACTCGGCATGTTGTAATTCTATTGATTCCGGTAGCTCCTGGCATGTAGTATTAGCTACCACTTACTGAGTGTTTACGATGTGCCTGGCACTGTGTAATCTGGACAAGTTTAACCCCTGTGAACGTTACAGAAACCCTCTGAGGTAACGAGGAGAACCTGAGGGACAATGAATTTGCTTCAGGTCACAGATCCAGCGGAAAGAACCATCTTACTCCGCAGTCGGCTCGGGATACACAGCCCGCTCGTGGCCTTTTCACAGGATGCAGGTCACTCCTGTAGTCACGTTACGGCGTAGGCAACGAAGCCTGGCAGCCAACAAACAACGGCGGGCGCGCCCCGCCCCTGCGTCGGTGCGCACACCTGCCCCTCTCGCGCCGGGCCCCGCCCCCACCCCTGACGCTATGGGCACAACCCACCAATGGAGCCGGTGGGTCGCGCTGAAGGAGACCAGCCGGGAGACTTGCGCCCTGCGACGACGGCCGGAGACGTCAGTACTCATTTCCTTGCAAGCCTGAGCGCACGACCAGTATCTCCTCTCTCTGCGGGCAGCAGGGACTGCGGTGGGACCAGCGGTGGGGTATGTGGAAGGCGGAGCTTCCCCGCGGCTGCGCAGCCCGCTACACCCTGCGGCTGGGCTCCCTCTGCTGGCCCGGAGTACATAACGGCGTGACTTCTGGTAGAATGGGATCTCGGGATAGCCAAAACTCAAGTGGGGATGGGCATGCTTAGCAGCGGTCAAATGAGTAGGGTTTTAATGTCGATTTTTATTTCTGTTTAGCCTGAGGTCACGTCACTCCGGGTACACTTTGGGTCCCAGAGGGACTTCTGTGAGACGCTCCTCCCATTCACTTCTAGAAAGCTCTGGATTACAATAGAAACCTCTACTAGTTGGTTACTCAGAAAAACCCAAGGGCCGTCTTTTAGCATAAAAGGAGCAGGAATTCCAGGGCAAGTGCCAGACTACGTGGCTTTCAGAGATGATACTGCCTTTAGACTGTTTCTAAAGATTCTTACTAAGGAAAATTCTCAAGCTGTCCTCATGCACAGGCATGCATGAAATCGCTTATCACTATGGGTTGGCATAATGCGGATACATGCACAAGTGAACACGTACACTTTAGCAATTCTATGTCAAATGTAGACACCTCCAGAATGAAAGGGTCTTGTTTACTCACCTGCCCATAAGAAATATCCACACATCCTACCGGCACCAGTACCACGTCACCTCTTGCATCCATTCATGTTTTCATTAAATATTTACTTAATACTGTGAGTCTGGAACTGTTGTAGGCACTGGGAAGGATAGATGAAATCGTGAGTGTGGTAGAAATATAGGCCCAAAAGGTAATTTCTCTCAAATGTCTCAGGTCTCCAGCTATATATTGTTTGTTCTGTATTAAATTATTTATGTTATTTGGCAAACATTCTTCACACACTTTTCAAAAATGTTTCTAGCTCTGGCTGATGTGGCTGAGTGGATTAAGGGCCAGCTTCTGAACTGAAAAGTCGCCTGTTTGATTCCCAGTCAGAGCACATGCCTGGGTTGTGGGGCCAGGTCCCAGGCTGGGAGCTGAGAGAGCCAACCAGTCGATGTATCTCTTGCACTCTGATGTTTCTCACTCTCTTCCTCCCTTCTCCTCTCTCTAAAGGTAAATAAATAAAATCTTTAAAACAAATGTTTCTCATCTCCCCTTTGTGCTGTAAAGAAAACTTCAAAGAATTGTAAACTTCAGAGATTTAATATAGAAAATATCTTTACAGATAGAAAAGTACAGGCCCAGATAAGTGAATGACTTAACCAAGATCACTTATGTTATAAACAATATTTCTTGGGCATTGACTACATTGGAGGTACTCAAACAGTGGTTACACAAACACTGTACTCATTCCAAAAAATAGTTTTAAAAATCAAAATAAAATAAAAGGTAAGAAATAGAAGGAATTTCTGAGAAATTATTTTACCTATTTGCTTGACTAAAATATATCATTGAATTTGCAGTTCTTGCTCTAAAACTTTTTTGTTAAAGCTAATTCTGTATAAAGGTACTCACTAAATTCACCCTCAGTGATCCCACCATCAGCTGAATTGTAACCCCTCCAAAAAATTAGTATATTAAAGTCCAAACCCCCAGTACCTCACAATATAACTTTGAAAATAGTGGAAATAGGGTCTTTGCAAATATAACTAGTTAAGACAAGGTCACTAGGGTATACCCTAATTACTTTTCCCCTCACTTGTGGACCACATATCCCTCGAGCATTTGGACACTGGCCAGTGATGAGTTGGGCTTAGGGAGAGGAAGAAGCCCTGCCTAGGCTTTGAGCCTTAGTTATATGCTCACTCGGTTTTACCAAAACTTTCTGCATTGGGTTACTAAGCATATGCACCTAGATTATAAAATAGCATTCATCCCTTTTCGTCGTCTTCAAGAACCTCATAGATTCCAAGGCCAAGGCAGAATTCAGGCATCCTTGGGTCAAAATCTTATGATTGTATTACTAACTTTTATGTTTGAACCTCACTCCCCATGTAGTAGGATAGCGTAAAGGTTTATAAACAGAGGAAAGACATGATCAGATTTGTGTACTTCCCAGATGTCAACTAGTTTCCTTCACCTTTCAGACCCAGGTTCAGATCAAACCTCCCTGTCTTCTCTGGGGGAGTACCATGCCTTTTTGAGGACTTCTGTGAGATATCAGGGGATTTATGTTCTTATAATTATCTCAGCCTCTAAGCTCCCACATCTGATATTAGTCTGTTTAGGCATCTTCTTGCCATTGTGTGCCTGCTACTGTTCTGTGTCTCACTAACCCAAACACAAAACTTAGAATTTTTACTTTATTGTCACAATGTAAGCCTTCATATGTGGCATCTGTCTGCATGGAACACTTCACTAAAGAGTTAGGGTTTGTGATGTTTACAAAAACTCCTAAAGAAATTGAGAAGAAACTATATTGGTCCAAGACTGTGAGTAGTGACCTAATCATGAATTCACATTTGCTCCCAAAAGACATGTTGGGCGTGTTCTACAGCAATATACAACATGCAGAGGGAGCGTGGAAGGTTTAACTGGCCTGGGATTGGAATTCAGTGGAGGGAAAGAGTATAACTGAAGGAAAAGAGAACACGGGATTTTGAGGGTATTGTCAAGAGTGTGGTTTAAGTGACAGACCTAGGCTGACTTGTACTATTAGTGAAAACTGGTGGGGAGTTTAGAAATGTGACGATTAAATGGTCTCTGATGCCACCGGTTGCCCAACTAAATGAAGAACCACCAACTTTTCATTAATCTCTGAAGAACTACCATATTATCCTGTGTATAATGTGTACCTGTGGGATTGTGGCCATTATACACAGGATTATTATACCCATTATCATGCCCATGGTTTGTAATCATTATACCCATGTATAATCAGCATCCTCATTTTTCCCTCAAAAATTTGGGCAAAAAACTCCTCACTCCTCATTATATGTGGCAAAATATGGTATATACCCAGAGATTAGAAGAAATGCCAGATTTTAGCTGTGTCCTTCAAAACAACACTCTGCCAAGGCTGAGTTGGGGGCAGGGTAGGAGATGGTAGTGGGTGCTTCAACCACAGCTGCAGAGAAACAGTCAGTTTAAAAGAAGCCATTAAGCATGACACAGGGGGCTTCCTGTCCTCTGAGGACCTGAGGACCACTGGTAACAGGCAGACTGTGATAGAAAAAAAATAAACAGGTGATTTTCAGATCTATATTCATATTCTACTATCTACAATTATTTGTATTTCTTCTCCCAAATGTGAGGACTTCTGTCACCCACCTATCTGTGATGGTAATGACCCAGTTCTAGTTTTTCTTTCATGTATTCTTATTACCTAGAAGATATATCCAATAAATACAAATTTAAAACTCTCTTCAAGAGGTTGTATCAACACTTGTTTAATGTCTCCAAGGAAAAGTCCTAAGAAATATAAAGCCATAATTATCTCCTGTATTCTTTTTAACTGAAATTTAAAAACTGAAACTTAAAAACCAGTTGTTTATGGTTTGGAAGATAAGGTGGCCTTTTTGATCTCTCTTTTGTACAGAGCACATGCATTTTAAACCTAGTTCCAAACCCTATGCTTCTTCCATCACATGGTGACGAAGGTGCCATGAAACCCATAAGGCATTTTCACAGGCACCTCTGCTCGGCCCAGTTCGTCAAAGTTCTTGGCATCCAAGGCTAGGAGGAAATTGCTTTTATTCTAGAAAAGAAAAGACAATAATGAAAGTTATCCTTTTTTTCCTATCAAAAATATGTCTCTCCTCCACTGGTCTCTAAAATTCCTAAGGGAGAGGCCATATCTTATTCATCTTCATGTCTGTCCCTGGCACCAGCATACTGCCTTGCCTCTCCATTTACTAAACATTTGCTGAAAGGCTGAATTGGACTGAAAGGAAATTAGGGATGAAATTTATACCTAGAGTGAAAAAATTACATTGTTTATATCAATCACCTTAATAGGATCTCTTTGAATTTAAGGATTTATCTACCCCTTTTCAATTTCCTGAGACACAGAAATTCTTTCTTCCAAATTAGAAATGCTTCCAGCCCTGTCTGGTGTGGCTCAGTTTGTTGGAGCATCTCCCCATGGGCCGAAAGATTGTGGGTTCAATTCTAGGTCAGGGCACATACCTGGGTTGCGAGTTTGATCCCTAATCAGGGTGCTTGCCCTGATCAAGCTCTTATAAGAAGACAACCAATCAGTGTTTCTCTCTCACATAGATGTTGCATAGATGTCTCTCTCTCTCTCTCCCCTCTCCCTCTCTTTTGCCCTCTCTCTCTCCCCCCTTCCCTCTAAAATCAATGAAAAAAATGTCCTTGGATGAGGATTTTTAAAAAAAGAAAAGAAAGGAGGGGATAATGAGAGGAAAGGGGGGAGGGGTTTTCAGGAACGTGTATAAAGGACACATGGACAAAACCAAACAGGGGTAGGATCAAGGGTGGGAAGTGGGGATGGCTGAGGTTGGGGAAACTGGGGGGGTGGGAAATGGAAACAACTGTACTTGAACAACAATAAAAAAATGTGGAAAACAAAAGAAAGAAATGCCTCCAATTTGTGTTGATTTAGAGCTATTCAAATGTAGCTTTGCCAGGCAGACTGAGATCTGCCCAAGTATAATTACAGGAGTGGTAAATCCATGGGATGAGGACTAACACCTCCTAAGCCCATGGCAGACCTGAAGATTGATCAGAGCACATTTCTCACCAAACCCTTTAAAGGGCTTAGAATTTTACACACCAGACAGCCACTAATCAACACTTGGTCAAAACTGGTACTCAGCCCTGACTGATGTGGCTCAGTGGGTTGGGCATTATCCTACAAGCCAAAAGGTTGCATGTTTGATTCCTGTTCAGGGCACATGCCTGGGTTGCAGGCCAGGTCCTCGGTTGGGGGTTGTGCAAGAAGCCAATGGTTGTTTCTCTCCCTCTTTCTCCTTCCCTTCCCCTTTCTCTAAAAATAAATAAATAAAATCTTAAGAAAAACTAGTACTCAGGGAACCTATTTGCCACAAGATTGCCCTAAATGAAAAGTTAGATATTATTAAGCTACCAGGGCTTCCCACATTAGACTTTTGGGTCACTCAACTGAAATTGGCAGCACAGATGGTGGTATGAATATTAGACCAGAAGAGAGAACACTGAAATGAAATACTGGCTTTACTACTAGGAGATCTATTACAATTCTCTTTCAACTGCCTTCAGTTACAAATTCCATATGTGTAAATGGTATCCCACAAAGTTGTTTTGGTGACTAAATAAGATAAAATGTATAAAAGTAGATTGTAAATGCATTCTTATGCAAACTGAAATTATCGTAACTCTATAAATAGAAATTTAAAACAATAAAAAGTATGGATTATGATTAAAAGGGTACACAAATAGTAAGGAGAGGAAGAAAAGAGAGAAGGTGGCACAATGGGAAGTAAACTATAAATGGCATCACTAAATATAACCCTCGCAAGCCTCAGTGTTACTTTTCTTTCTGACTAGTGACAGAGAAATACATTCACCTGGTTGGGGGTTATCACCACAGAAAGAAGAACCCCACCATCTTCTTCACTGGTCCCTGGTACTGGAACAAAAACAGGTTCTGAAGGATAAAAGCCATCTTCTCTCCAAACCTGTAAGTCCCCCAAAAAAGTATTTAATAGAAAATTAGTTATGATGTGGAAGCTTTCAACAGCTTTTTTTCCCCTCCCGGAATGACTTTTGCTGTCAATATAATATTCCAGCAGTAAAAAGAAAAAAAAAATCAGGCTTACTGAGTTGAATATAGGAGAGATAGAGGGAGCTTTTGGAGCTGCAGATTCCATCATCATCAAACACAGTCTGTGAAATTACAATTTCCCACCAACCTGAAATACAGGTATGCCAGCAACCTTCACCCCATGATTTCTCTCCAAACAACACCAAGCATAGAACTATTTTTCTGGGTCTGTGGTTCATTTAGATTCCCTAGGGGAACATACTCCTACCTATGTAATTCCATGGTTCTCACACTTAATAAAACTAAATGGCTGAACTGCTTAAATATTAAAGAATCTCAAAAGCTACCTTAAACAAAACAGAAACTAATTCAAAGGGCAGAACAGATCTTTAAAAGGTATGTAAAAGGAAAGAGATTTTCATTACCATCAGTGTCTTGTTCACCACGTCAACCTTGATCAGAGAATCCCCCACCAAGTGCCGAAAGCCACAGCCATAGAAGAAATGATACTTTTTGCCACTGAATTGACCATAGTTGATCTGAGGAAATTCAATACCTCCTTCCTCTTCTAAGTTTTCAGGATGTAGATTTTCATAAGAGCACCAAATCTAAAAAAGGTCCCAGAAGGATTTGTAGTGATTGCTCAATTTCCACTTACTTTATTCAATGCAGGTTGGAGCAGGGGCAGGGGGTGGGAGTTGATACTCTGTAAGAGTTTCTAACAGGGCTTGGAAACAGAGGTTCTATGTAATTTTTTAATATTGTTCCTCTTTCCATCACGTATATGAATGCATAAAAAATTATCAGGTTTTGTGACTAAGTTGCTAGGAGGTACAAGTGGGCTTTCTATTTTACTAAAGCCAAAACATTGATAGCTGCACAATGATCTGCCTGTGATAAGCACACATTATCTAAATAGTAGGGATGGTCAATAACAAACTCAAATGTTTAAACATTTTACAACCATTAGAAAGTTACACATATCTATTTCAAAATACAAAACGGATCAGTAAACATAGTGCTCACTCCCAGCCAGAATTGTGTGGTTCTTGTGCAAGCAATGTCCCAGGACCTTACACTGCTCAGACTAATGTTATGAAACTTACTGTGAATCAAACATTGTGGAGAACAGTCAATGAATAAAAAGACACCAGTAAAATTCAAAGTCTTAGTCTAATGTTCATTCATAGCTTACCTTGCCATCAGCCTGCTTCACGGCACTGGCTGAAGAATAGGACAGTGGGTTGAGGTTCTCCCCCTCAGGGGCATTCAGACTGACATGTAAGGGCAAAACAAACCTCCGAGGGAAAGATCTGGCCATTGATTCATAGACCTGTTCAGGAAACAGAAATAAACAGGTGGAAAATTGTCATTCATAGCATAACAGCATATCCCAGTAATTTAGATTTAGGCAACACTATTGGCATTCCTAAGTAATTCATAAAGGATCCTTTTCATTCATTCATTTATACAACCAATACCTGCTGAATACCTACTATAGGTAGTGTTTTAGACACTGGGAATATAGCAGTGAACAAAACAAAACCCCTGGCCTCATGGGACTTACAGTCTAGTAGAGAAAGAATGACAATAAATGTTATTCAATTAGTATCAAATAAGCAAATGATTAAACTAGCCCAAGGTGTGATAGTGATAAGTGCCATTAAAAAACACACTACAGGGTGAGGGACAGCAATGTGACAAGGGCTGCTTCATTCCTCGGGTTTGGGCAGGATAGACCTCTGTGTGGAAAAGGGTTAACTTAGCAGGCCAAAGTTGCTCAAACCCTGCACATTCTCAAGAAAGACCTGTTTTCATGTGTGGCCCTTGTCTGGCACCTTGGACTGTTCTGTCTGGTAAAAGTGTTTTGGCATGCCTGATGCCTTGAGTCACACTGTACTAGTTAACCCAGATAGTTTATGCTAACAATGTCATTTATAATGAACCTCTGCTTTCTCTATGGGGGTCTGGAGCTTCAGTAACTGAGGTTACCCATGTAGGAGCTATATGTCTATGTGTAGATCCCCAACAAAAACCCTGGACAACCAGATGCTGATGCGTGGGTCACCGGCCATCAGTGATCATGGAACGCTGCAGATGGCTCATCGAAACTCAAGAAAAACATACACAGAAACAACCAGGTCCTGTGGAGGAACAGGAACAGCAGGGCCACTCCTCACATGGGGAGCGCCTTGGCCACCCTCTCTCCTGGGGGGCGCCACTTGGCCACCCTCCCTGGTGGGGAGAGTGCACCATTCCCCCTCCAGAGAGGCTTTTTATTGGTTTCATTTCCATAAGAATTCAAGTAAAAGCTCATTACTCATTACGAGGAAGTAAGGATCAAACAATAGATAACAAAGAAGTCTGAGGGTCTATTTTGAGTCAGGGTCAAACAGCTGTAAGACTTTTAAGGAACAAACTAACTTCCTTCTTGGACCCTTCTCATTCAACTAAGAGCATTCTAAACAAAGCAGGTCTCACAGGATTTTACATATTCTTTCTTAGGCCTGATCACCCAGGGAATCCACCCTTTTCAGAACAAAGCTGCACCATCCTGTCATTGTTTCAGGCTTAGGTGGAGCAAGGGAAGTGAGGCAACCAAGAGTAAGGAGATTTTCTCCCAGACAATGAGGACTCAGGCTATGTCAAAGCTGAGGAGCAAGGGTCCATCACCCCCTTTTGCTGTAGCCCCCAAAGTCCTTCTTTTGGGGGCCTCCCACATGATCGTGCCTGTCTTAGATTGTTCCCCCCTTGGGGAATCTTACCCGTCTTTGGCTAACCGACCAAGCTTTGGGGTTCAGTGATGAATGAAGCAGTAGAAGCAGCACTCCTGCCAGGGAGATAAGCTTTTGTCTCCTTGCTGGCTTACGGTCCAAGGCCACTCCCTCAGCCTTAGCCTTGGTGGGGGTTACAGCTTCTGATACCAGGCAGGACGGTTCCCAACAAGATGTATGCTTCCAAGGACGCGGGTATCCTTCAGACTTCACCCCCTGCACCTTTTCCTTTTGCTGATTTTTATGCCTATGAATCTTCCCAGTGAATTATCAACAGGTGGTCTTAGGGACCAACACAGCCTCTCTGCAGAGATGATGTTTAAGCAAGAGACCCTAGTAAAATCAGTATATTTTTATGACAATAAGATGCTTGAAGTACATATTTCTCCTTTAAAATACTGTAAGATGGAGCCAAGGTTGCGGGTTCAATCCCCATGAGGGCACATACAAGAAGCAACCAACGAATGCATAAATAAGTGTAACAACAAATGGATGTTTCTTCTCTCTCTCCCCCTCCCTCAATCCCTTCCACTCTCTTTCTAAAAATTAATTTTAAAAAATATTGTAAGATGGAGAACTGTCATTTCTCCCCATATACCTAGTTCATATTATCTCCATCTCATGCAGAAATACTTTTACTGAGTAAAGATTTAGTGCTATTTTTAAGCTGCATAAAGAGTTAGCTTTTTAAAAATTACTTTTAAATTTATTTAAATATTTTTTCTTTTGCAAAACCATAGATGAACAAAAAGAGACTTCCAATAATGGTAGATTAGATAATGTGGATAAACTGTCCCTTTGAGAACAGCTAGAACACCTAGACAAAATGTTTAAAACAGCCGTTTGAAGGCACTGGTGAGCAAAAAAGCAGGGAAGAAACATGGGATGGCGATTTGGGAGGAGGTAAACTAGGTATTGGGGGTAACTTTTCCTCTAAGGACATAAGTTGTTTTTAGGAAAAGGCAGCTAAATGGCTGGAGAAAAATCAAGAAATTTCTTTAGTGAACTTTTTTATTTTGAGATCATTGCAGATTCACATGCATTGTAAAATACCGAAAAACAAATTATTTAAAAATGGGCAAAGGGGACTTCCAATCAAGATGGTGGCATAGGTAAACACAGATTGCCTCCTCACACAACCACATCAAAATTATAACTACTCTATAGAACAACCATCATTCAGAGCCATCAGAAATTGAGCTGAATGAAAGGAAGACCTACAACTATGGAATTAAAGAAGAAACCACATCAAGACTGGTAGGAGGGGTGGTGATGCCTAATGGGCTGGTCCCACACCCACATGTGGCAGATAAAAATCAGGAGGGATGCCTCAGGAGTGAGAGGTCTCAGCCCCACACCAAGCCCCACAGCCCAGGCTTCCAGTGCCAGGAAGATAAGTCTCTATAACTTCTGGTTGTAAAAACAGACAGAGATTGAGGTTATGGAAGACAGAAACTTCTGGAATCCCAGGCAGTTCCTCTTAAATGCCTCATGAACAGAATTATTCAGACTCATTCCCTCTGAGCTCCAGCATGGGAGCAGCAGATTGAAAGGCATCAGAAACATACACAGAGGAACTGAGTTGTCTGGTATCAGGGTGAGAGCTGGAGAGCAGCTTTCTTCAGGACAGAAGTGCTGACAGAGGACACTGTACATTTTCTGAACCCTTCCCCCAAAAGCCACTAAGCCAGCAGGCAGGTACCATACCTGAAACTCCATCAGCCTGGCTCACACTGTTTGCTCCACCCTGGTGATTTCCTGAGACTCTGCCCTACCCAACTTTCAGGCTCACCCAAGCTGTTTCCAGTGGCTTTTCCATGCAAATGGCTTGCTTTGAGCCCATGCTTCAGATTCTCCTAAATTCTCTCAAATAAGCAGCATCTGGCTTCAGTGAGCCCCGTACCTCTCACTAAGCTGGCCCAGGCCTGCCACCACCAGCAGCTGTCCTTGGTTCACAGCTTGGTCTCGCCTAGACACCTACAAGCCCAGCACAAGTATCAGCCATCTTCAGATCATTTTGTAGCTTATGCCAGGTGACCCCAGACAGAACACAGACAGTAGCTGGCCTTGGTCATGCCAACAGCAATCAAGTCTCAACTACAACAGGAAGGTGTACACAGCCTACATGTTAGACACACCTTGAGTACCTAGCTAGGGAGGCCATGCAACCAGACCCTACAGGACACCTATTACATTAGGCCACTCTACCAAGCCTGAGAAACGTAGCAGCTCTACCTAATACATAAAAACAAATAAACACAGGGAGGCTGCCAAAATGAGGAGACAAAGAAATGTGGCCCAAATGAAAGAACAGAACAAAACTCAAGAAAAAAAAAACTAAACAAAATAGAGACAAGCAATCTATCAGATACAGAGTTTAAAACACAGGTTATAAGGGTGCTCAATGCATTTAGTGAGAACCTCAAAAGTATAAAAAAGATCCAATCAGAAACAAAGGATACACTGATTGAAATAAGGAACAATAGCCCTAGCTAGCGTGGCTCAGTGGATTGAGTGCCAGCCTATGAACCAAAAGGTCGCTAGTCCAACTCCCAATCAGGGCACATGCCTGGGTTGCTGGTCAGGTTCCCAATAGGGGGCATGCAAGAGGCAACTGCACATTGATGTTTCTCTCCCTCTCTTTTTCCCTCCTTCCCTCTCTATCTAAAAAGATGAATAAAAATTTTTTTAAAGAATAATATACAGGGAATCAACAGTAGAGTGGATGAAGCTGAGAATTAAATCAGCAATTTAGAGTACAAGAAAGCAAAAAACACCCAATCAGAACACCTAGAAGAAAAAAGAATCCCACCCCCCCAACCCCGCAAAAAAAAAAAAGGGGGTGTTGTATAAGGAGCCTCTGGGATAACTTCAAGCATACCGACATTCAATCATGAGGATGCCAAAAGGAGAAAGAGGAAGAAATTGGAAACCTATTTGAAAAAAATGACAGAAAACATCTCTAGCTTGGTAAAGGAAATAGACAAACAAGTCCAGGAAGTGCAGAGAATCCCAAACCAGATGAATCCAAAGTGGCCCACAACACAACACATCATAATTAAAATGTCAAAGCTTAAAGACAAAGAGAGAATCTTAAAAGCAGCAAGAGAAAAGCAGTTAGTCACCTATAGAGGAGTTCCCATAAGACTGTCAACTGATTTCTCAAAAGAAACTTTGCAAACTAGAAGGGATTGGCAAGAAATATTCAAAGTAATGAAAAGCAAGGACCTACAACCAAGATTACTCTACCCAGCAAAGCTATCATTTAAAATCAAAAGCAGATGAAAAGCTTCTCATACAATAAAAAGCTAAGGAGATAATCACCACCAAACCATTATTACATGAAATGTTAAAGGGTTTTCAAGTGAATCTAAAAAAACAAAACAGAGCTCCCAGCCATAGGAAGATAAGCTCTGCTTCCTCACACAACCAGAAGAAGGATAACAACTAATTTTAAAACAAAAAACAACCAGAACTGCCAGAAAATCAAGCTTTTTGGAAGTTTGACAATCAAAGAGTTAAATAAGAAGCATTTATCCAGACTGGTAAGAAGGGTGGAGACAGGCAGCTGGGGTGGCAAGGACATGGGACAAAGTGGTAGCTGGCAGACCAGGGCAAGCAAGGTGGCAGCAGGATACCCCACATTCATGTGCAGATAAGCCGGGAGGAACAACTGGGGAGTGGGGCAAACCGCACAACCTAGGGTTCCAGCCCAGGGAAATAAAGCCACAAAATCTCTGGCTATAAAAACCTGTGGGGGTTGCAGCAGAGGGAAAAATCTCCCAGTCTCATAAGATAATCTGTTGGAGAGGCTGACGGGATCCTAGAATGTTCACAAGCCCACCCACCAGGGAATCAGCACCTGAGAAGGCACAATCCACTTGTGGAAAGTGAGAGAAATGACTGAAAGCTGAGCGAGAGCTGAGCAAACTAGCAAGAGGCATTGTTCCCTCTTCACCCCACCCCCACAGACAATGCCAAAACACAGCAAAGTGGGTTGTGCCACCCTGGTGAATACTTGAGGCTCCAATCCTTACAACATAATAGCTGCACCGAGGCAAAGGAATATGGCCCAAGTGAAAGAACTGACCAAAACCCAGAAAAAGAACTAAGCAATGAGGAGGTAGACAACCTATCTGATGGAGAGTTCAAAACACTGATAATCAGGATGTACACAGAAATAATTGAGCTCGTTCCCAAAATGAAGGCTATACAAGTGAAATAAAGGAAAATATACAGGAAACCAACAGTGAATGGAAGGAAACCAGGACTCAAATCAACAATCTGGAACAGAAGGAAGAAATAAACATACAACCAGAACAGAATGAAGAAACAAGAATTCAAAAAAAAAATGAGAAGAGGCTTAGGAACCTCCAGGACAACTTTAAATGTTCCAACATCTGAATTATAGGAGTAACAGAAAGAGAAGAGGAAGAGCAATAAGTGGAAAAGTTATTTGAACCAGTAATGATGGGAAACTTTCCCAATCTGGCGGCAAAGGAAATAAACTTCTAGGAAGTCCAAGCTCAGAGAATCCCAAAGAAGTTGAATCTAAGAAGAAAGACACCAAGACACATAATCATTAAATTACCCAAGATAAAAATGAAGGAGAGAATCCTAGAAGCAGCAAAAGATAAGGAGACAGTCACCTACAAAGGAGTTCCCATCAGACTGTCAGCTGATTTCTCAAACGAGACCTTGTAGGCAAGAAGAGCCTGGAAAGAAGTATTCTAAGTCATGAAAGACAAGGACCTACATTCAAGATTACTCTATCCAGCAAAGCTATCATTTAAAATGGAATGGCAGATAAAGTACTTCCCAGGTAAGGTAAAGATAAAGGAGTTCATCATCACCAAGACTTTATTATATGAAATGTTAAAGGGACTTATCCAAGAAATAGGAGATGATCAAAAATATGAACAGTAAAATGACAACAAACTCACAACTATCACTAAACAAAAAAAAAACTAAGTAAACAACCAGAACAGGAACAAATTCACAGAAATAGACATCACATGGACGATTATCAGTGGGGAGAGAGAGGAGGGAGAATCAGGGAAAGGTACAGGGAATAAGAAGCATAATTGGTAGTACAAAATAGACAGGGGGAAGTTAAGAGCAGTATAGAAAATAGAGAAGCCAAAGAACTTATATGTATGACCCATGGACATGAACTAAGGGGGGGAAATGCTGGTGGGAAAGGAGATGCAGAATGGTGGGGAATAAAAGAGAGGAAAAATGGGACAACTTTAATAGTATAATCAATAAAATATATTTTTTTAAAAAGGTAAACAACAGATGACAGAAACAAAGCCACAGGGGATTCAGATAATACAGTCATCAGACATTAACAAGTCTGAGTATGTTGAAGGAAATTCTTTTAAATTTGGAATTGTAGCAGAGAACTAGAAATTATAAAAGAAAACTAAATCAAAATTTTGGAACTGAAAAAGTGCAATCAGTTTAAGAACTTAGTGGCTAGGTTTAACAGCAAAACACAGCTGAAACCTGCACACAAATGTTTATAGCAATTTTATTCATAATTGCCAAAAACTGAAATCAACCAAGGTATCTTTCAATAGGTAAAGGGATAAGCAAAGTGTGGTATATCCATACACTAGAATATTATTAAGCAATGAAAAGAAATGAGCTATGAAGCCACTGAAAGACATGGAGAAACCTTAAATGGGTGTTGCTAGGTGAAAGAAGCCAGTCTGAAAAAGCTGCATACTATATGACTCCAACTATATGGCATTCTGGAAAAGGAAAAACTGTAGAGACAGTAAAAAGATTAGTAGTTGCCAAGGATTCAAGGAAGTAGATAGGTAAGAACAGGTAGAATGCAGTATTTTAGGGTACTGAAATTATACTATTAAGGTAGATATAAGACATTATGCATTTGTCAAAACCTGTAGAATATAAAACACACAGAGTGAACTCTAATGTAAACTATGGACTTTAGTAATAAAGTATCAATATTGATTCATTAGTTGTAACAAGCACACCACACCAAGGCAAAACGTTCATAGGGGAAACTGGGGAGGTAAAAGGGAAGGGACTATATGAGAACTCTCTGTACTTTGTGCTTTATTTTCCTTTAAACAAAAAACTTCTCTAGAACACAAGGTCTATTAGTTTTTTACTCTACAGCAAACAGCATACTTAACAGTAAAATGTTGAAAGTTTTTCTTGTCAAACTGAGAACCAGATAAGGATGCCACTGACATTCAACAATGTACTTCAAGTTCACTAGAATAAGGCAAGAAAATGAAAACCAACAAATGCATTAATCTGACAGATATTTTTGTTTTGGTGTGTGTGTGTATGAACTGACAAGCTAACTCCAAAATTTATACAAAACTGTAAAGGGCCAGGAATGACCATGATACTCACTATAGAAAAAGAATTAGCAGGACTTGGCCTACTAAACATCAAGAATTTTTATATAGTGATAGTAATTAGAACAATATGGTACTGGTCCAAGCATAACAGTGAAACAGAATATAGTCCAGAAACAATAATAAATATATGGATACTTAATTTTTCAGAATTAAAACATCCTCTAGAAGATAATATAAAAGAATATTTTCATGACTTTAGCACAGGAAGATGTCTGAAACAGGATATACAGTGCTTTACTCATAAAGGAAAAGATTGATATACTCAATTTATGGAAATGAAAAGGGCAAGAAAAACTTAGGCATTCTTAAAAAATAAAAGAGCTAATTGACTCATACTGCAGATATCAAGACCTATCATACAACTATAAAACATAAATAAGTTAGTAAGTATAAGTAAACTTCAAAAGCAATGTTTTCAAAAGATTTTAAAATAAGAAGTCCAGGGAGCTCAGAAAGTCCCAAAGAAGGTGGGCCCAAGAAGAAACACACCAAGGCACATCATAATTACATTAGCCAAGATAAAAATGAAGGAGAGAATCCTAGAAGCAGCAAGAGATAAGGAGACAGTCACCTACAAAGGAGTTCCTATCAGACTGTCAGCTAATTTCTCAAAAAGAGACCTTGCAGGCAAGAAGGGGCTGGAAAGAAGTATTCCAAGTCATGAAAGACAAGGACCTACATCCAAGATTGCTCTCTCCAGAAAAGCTTTCATTTAGAATGGAAGGACAGATAAAGTGCTTCTCAGATAAGGTCAAGTTCAAGGAGTTCATCATCACCAAGCCCTTATTATACGAAATGTTATAGGGACTTATCTAAGAAAAAAAGATAAAAAAAACATGTATAGTAAAATGACAGCAAACTCACAATTATTAACAACCACACCTAAAGCAAAACCAAAAGAAACTAAGCAAACAAGTAGAACAGGAACAGAACCACAGAAATGGAGATCACCTGGAGGGTTAGCAACAGGGGAGTGGGAGGAGGAGAGAGGGGGAAAAGGTACAGAGAATAAGTAGTATAGATGGTAGGTAGAAAATAGACAGGGGGAGGGTAAGAATAGTATGGGAAATGTAGAAGCTAAAGAACTTATAAGTATGACACATGGACATGAACTAAAGGGGGGAATGTGGGTGGGACAGGGTGTACAGGGTGGAGGGGAGTGAAGGTGGGAAATGGGACAATTGTAATAGCATAATCAATAAAATATATTTTTAAAAAGAAAGAAAAAAAGATTTTAAAATAAAACCACAGCTAAAAACAATTTATATTGCATAACCCCACGAAAAATTTTACCTTGGACTCAATATCAGAAAAAAATGAAATCCTTCAGCTACAGGAACTAATGTACTTTATTAGAGAATTAAGGTTATAGTCCATTTTGCTATCCCTTCCAGTAAATTTAATTTACAAAATTAGTGCTCAAGTGTCATAAGCAGCTAACAACAAGTGCTTCAAAACAAGTGCTTTCTATTAGGTATTAGGTAAGTACTTCATATTATTTTTAAGTATTATTAAGTAAGTAAGTGACAAAGCTGTGTCTTTAAAACCATTCTCTCTCCTTATTTGCCAAAGAGGAAACAGAAACAGCTAATTCCAAAGCCAAAACCAGGACATGGCTAGTTAAAAATTATTTTGCCAACACCTGACAAATCAGAGATACCTACCTGATCAAGCTCCTTCCCAGCTTTCCTAAGATTCTGTAGTTGGTAAACGTCTAGGTTTCTTCCATTATCTTGACAGCACAAGTCAATGATAACACAGCCCTGGTCCTCAAAAGCATTGATTTGATGAAAAGTAACAAAAGGTTTAGTGTAGTACATTCCTGGAAGAAGCTGCAGGGGGAAATCAGACAGTGAAGAAAAAAAAAAGACATTTCATTTTATTTTCATTTTTTAAATATACTTTATTGATTATGCTATTACAGATATCCCATTTCCTCCCCTTCACTCCCCTCCACCCTGCACACCCTCTCCCACCCACACTTCCCCCCTTTAGTTCATGTCCATGTGTCATAAGCTCTTTAGCTTCTACATTTCCCATACTATTCTTACCCTCCCCCTGTCTATTTTCTACCTACCATCTATACTACTTATTCTCTGTACCTTTTCCCCCTCTCTCCTCCTCCCACTCCCCTGTTGCTAACCCTCCAGGTGATCTCCATTTCCGTGGTTCTGTTCCTGTTCTACTTGTTTGCTTAGTTTGTTTTTGTTTTTGTTTTAGGTGTGGCTGTTAATAATTGTGAGTTTTCTGTATTTTACTATACATGTTTTTTTTTTATCTTCTTTTCTTAGATAAGTCCCTCTAACATTTCATATAAGGGCTTGGTGATGATGAACTCCTTGAACTTGACCTTATCTGAGAAGCACTTTATTTGCCCTTCCATTCTAAATGAAAGCTTTTCTGGAGAGAGCAATCTTGGATGTAGGTCCTTGTCTTTCATGACTTGGAATACTTCTTTCCAGCCCCTTCTTGCCTGCAAGGTCTCTTTTGAGAAATTAGCTCACAGTCTGATGGGAACTCCTTTGTAGGTGACTGTCTCCTTATCTCTTGCTGCTTCTAGGATTCTCTCCTTCATTTTTATCTTGGCTAATGTAATTATGATGTGCCTTGATGTGTTTCTTCTTGGGCCCACCTTCTTTGGGACTCTGAGCTTCCTGGACTTCCTGGAAGTCTCTTTCCTTTGCCAGATTGGGGAAGTTCTCCTTTATTATTTGTTCAAATAACTTTTCCACTTGTTGCTCTTCCCCTTCCCCATCTGGTACCCCTATAATTCAGATGTTGGGAGGTTTAAAGATGTTCTGGAGGTTCCTAAGCCTCTTCTCATTCTTCTGAATTCTTGTTTCTTCTTTTCTAGTTGGTTGTTTCCTTCTTCCTTCTGGTCCACTCCATTGATCTGAATCCCAGTTTTCTTCCCATCACTATTGGTTCCCTGTGCATTTTCCTTCATTTCACTTAGTGTAGCCTTCATATTTTCATCTAATTTGCAACCAAATTTGATCAATTCTATGAGCATCCTGATCACCAGTGCTTTGAACTGCACATCTGATAGGTTGGCTGTCTCTTGGTTGCTTAGTTGAATTTGCTCTGGAACTTTGATCTGTTCTTCCATTTGGGCCATGTTTTGTTTTGTTTTTTCTTGTGGTGCCAGTTACATATGAGGGGTGGAGTCTTAGGTGTTCACCAGGGCAGGGCAATCCAATTGCTGGGTTGTGATGCTGTATGCTGGGGGGGAGAGGGGTGGTCCGAGAGGGAACAGTGGAACTTGTTCTGCTTTCTGTTGGCTTTCAGTCCCTTCTGCTGCCTCCCCCAGGCAAACTGGGCCCTTCTGGCACTGATTTCCATCGTGGGTGGGCCTGTGTACATTCCAAGATCCTGTGGGTCTCTCCAGTGAACTCTCCTGTGAGGCTGGGAGTCTCTCCCTGCGAGTCAACCCCAACAGGTGTTTTCAATAGGTGTTTAGAGGCTTTATTTCCCAGGGCTGGGACCCTGGGCTGCTCTGTCTGTCTCACTCCCCACAAATGTGGGACCTCCTGGTCAGCCATCTGTCTGGTGCACAGTGCCTCACTTCACAATCACCACCTCTCTGGGTCTGCCTGTTGTCACCCCGAGCCCGGGGTCTGCCAGCCACTGCCTGCTCACCGAGGGTGCTTTGTGTGCCCAGTGCCACCACTTTTTCTGCTGCGACCCCTCTCCACCAAGTCTGCCAACTCCACCCTGCCTACTGGTCTGGATGAATGTGTCTATTTTAACTCCTTGGTTGTCAGACTTTCAAACAGTTCAATTTTCTGTCAGTTTTGGTTGTTATTCTGTTTCTAAATTGTTGTCCTTATTTTGGTTGTGCAAGGAGGCACAGTGTTCTACCTATGCCTCCATCTAGGCCCGAAATCCTATTTTATTTTCATTTTTTTCCTTTAGGGAACAGATGCAATAAGTACAAATTAAGACACACACACACACACACACACACACACCCCACCAGCACCATCAGCACCCCCACATCACCATTACATGACAGGCCAGATTGGTGCAGAAAGTAGTACTTGAAATGCAGAAGCAAAGATGCTCTGATTTAAGTATTGCTTGTTTAAGTCACCTTACCTTGTATCAATCAACAAACTGGGGCAGTTTAATATAATTACCAATCAGCTGTTAGAACTTAAAAGTCCTCATGAAATATGTCCCAATGTTTTAAAGCATAGATAAGTCTTATATTCTACATGGTTAAATAGAAAACACTGCTATTAAATAACTTATGATAAATTTAAGTGATAATCTTTGAAAAATGCATTCATTATTAAAGTGGAATTTTTATAATAAAATAAGAGTACAGTAAATGTAGGATACTTTCTCTTTAGAGAGGGGAAAAATAAACATATATCATGCTGCTATTAATCAGGGGTATAGAAAGATAGCCAATATTCTTTGGACTTTAGTAGGATTATCATATTTACATATCAAGAAGTTGTAGAAGCAACTAATTAAAGTATGTTGCTGCCATGACTGGTGTGGCTCAGAAGGATGGGCATCATACTGCAAACCAAGAGGTTACCAGTTTGATTCCCAGTCAGCGCACATGCTTAGGTTGCAGGCCAAGGCCCCTTGTTGTGGGCATGAGAGAGGCAACTGATTGATGTTTCTCTGGCACATTGATGTTTCCTTCCCTCTCTCTTTCCCTCCCTTCCCCTCTCTCTAGTAATAAACATATAAAATGTTTTTTTTAAAGCATCATTGCAAAAGTTACAGAAGACATTTGCATGAACAAAATTCTCTTTTGCAAATATTATATGGAAAAACCCATGTTAAGAGGGTTTCTAGATGGCATTTTAATTGAATCAGATAATTAAAAGGATAAAGCCATTTCCTACAATGTTCTAATATGGTAAATCCACTGTATTAATTAATAAGTAGCTAGCCCTACCTATGGAAGAAAGTAATATTCTTGATCAAGAGTCATGCAAGTAATGCCCAGAGAAGATAAAAAGCAAACAAATGAAAATTTGCCTTTATTTCCAATCACCTTTATAATAAATACTCTTAAAATACCCCACCTGTCCAGTGTGCTTATCCACCACATGGAACCGTGTATTGTACTGGGGTTCCCAGCTTATTCCATCAGAAAAGGCCTTCCCCCGAATTTTAGAAGTGATGATTTTCCTCAGGTTCATCTTTACAGGTTGTTCAATGAAGATTATATAGTTCTTTGTCATTCCTAAAAGGTTACAGCCAACATGAGAATGTCATTTGGTAAACGTGAGTGGTCTGGGATGTGACAGGGACTTGTCTGAATGCTTGCACACATTACCACCCACCTAAACAAGGCATGCCAGAAACAGTGCTGTACTGCTGCCCAGCCTCGTTACACAGGTTTCCTGCTCTGACATGCAAATGGGAGCTGCTTGAGCACTTTGGGTTCAGTACCCTCAACTTGCTTTTTATCTTTTTTTTTCTTTTAAGATTGTTTTGGTTTAAGAAGAAAGTAAAGAAGCATAATATTAAAGTGTGGTTTATGATCTAAACCTTTATTCTTTAATCCTTTTGCTATTTATACTGGGGGTAAGGATCCAGGAGCAGATTGGCTATAAAGGTTTAGAATACAAAAGATAAATATTCTGAGAAAAAGCTGAAGCAATCCACATATAATTTGAATTTCTCTGCAAAATATAGTTAAGATCTTTTCATATATGATTATTTGTGGTCTCTAAAGTTACCTGAAATTCCAAATCCTATCAATTAATTTTTATGGTTAAATTTTTTTTACATTAAGACTTGAACCTTTTAGAATTGTTTCAGGTTCACAGTAAAATTGAGGGTAAAGTGCAGAGTTTTCCCGTACACCCTCTGTCCTTATACATGTATAGCCTCTGCATTATCAACATCCCCCACCAGAGTGGTGAATTTCTTATAACTGATGAACCTACATTGACACATCATAATCACTCAAAGTCCATAGTTTACATTATAGTTCACTCTTGTGGTTGACAATTAATTTTTTACTAATTGCTTATACTAAAGTAACTATCTTTTCAAGCAGTCATTCAGCTAGGGTGAGAAGTATATTACTAAACAGAATAAATGTAATTGGAATTAAAATGCAGCCTTGGTCTCATTGTCACCATACTCTAATAAACTGTATTAACATAGTACTTGTCAAAGCTAGTCCTTCTGCTATAGTAACATAAAAGCTGACCCCACTGCAATTTGCTTCATCTCTGGACTCACCAAAGCTATGGTAGTAAGAAGGTTTCAAACTCTCTGTAGAAGCAATAGAACATATCACCTGGGCTCCTTGGATTGTATCCCCAAGGTCCACCTTCTCTGGAGGAACTTGAATAATATTATAGCAAGAGCCTGGAAAATGGGAAATTTGGTCTTAACTGCTTTACATACATTTTAAGAATAAAAGATAACCCTTGCATTTATGGACTAGACAAAAGCAGTTAAAAAACTTATGCAATATGCCTGGTACCCGTATTTCATGAAAGGTTATTTCAAACAGACTTAGATACTAAAAATATATAAACTTTATGAAAATCATTAGCTAAGGTTTTGAAACAACACACAAAACAGTTTATTATATTTTAATGCTCTCAAATGGTTATCCTCTTGCTCTCTGAAGATGAACTCAATCTCTACTTCATAGGAGAAGATAAGGTAGCATCCAGGAATACCCTCAAATTCTATTTGTCCCTCTCCCCACTCCCCACTCCCAACAACTACAATCTCATTTGCACCCCTGTCCAAACCTTCCCTCTGGTCCTCTGGATCCCAGGGGTGGCTTGAGGTCCCATTTCATCCTGTCTCATCAGCAATCATTCATCTGACTATTACTACTTCTTCAGTAATCAACTCAGGTATCCATCCACTCCTCAAGTAGTCTTCCTTGAGTCCTCCCCACCCCACAGTCATTTGTTGCCCCTTCTTTATGCCCCAATTATCTCTCAGACAGTCATAGCACTTATCTCATTGTCCTGTAATTATCTATTTGTTTATCTGCTTCTACTGGGAAAAGAGAAAAACAAGTAGAGGTTTTTAAGACCAGATTTTTCTGCTTCATTTTTGCATCTTCAGTACCAAACAAGGACTAGCATTTAGTAAGTATACCATAAACAGCTATTGATGGATTTACTAACAACATGTTTATTAAATCATTCAATGAATGAGCAAATATTGAGGTCATATTAAATTATCTTCCTAGTATTAGAATAACCAATGTAGGTTCAAAAGAACTGGGGAAACTTACAGGTTTTTTGCAATCACAAAGCTTCTTTGGGAACAAGATAACCCATAGAGTTCTCTATTCAGTTATTCAACAACTATTTATTGAGTGCCAACTATATTCCAGGCACTTTTCTAAGTGCCATAAGTACCATATTCTAGACACTTGCATATAACTGTACAAAACTTTTAAAAGGCACTTCCTTTATAAAGCTCAAATTCTGATAAGCCATACAGTAAGTAAAAATATAATACATCAGATGGTGGTAAGAATGGAAAATAAACCAGGGAATGGGGATTTGGAGTAAGTATAGAAAGATGGGTATTATTATTTACAATTTTAACTATGGTGGTCTTGGAAAGCTTTACTAAGAAGATGACATTTGAGTAAAGATCTGAAGTGGGTGAGGAAGAGAGTCCTGAGGATATCTGGGGGAAATGTCTTCCAAGAGGAGAAAAAGAAAAAATGAAGAGTCTCAGCCAATAGTAAGGTTGGATTTTGGATATATTTTGAAGCATTGCTGTAATAATTACTTTTTGACCAATTGGATGTGGATGTGAGAGATGGAGATGTGAAGGATGATTCCAAAGCAACTGGAAGGAGGGAGTTACCATCAGGTGAGGTGGGAAATATTTTAAACAGAGAAAGTTTAGGGGAAAATATGAGGAGTTTGGTTTTAGACAAGTTAATTTTGTAATGCCTATTAGACATTCTAATAAAAACACTGAGTAAGCAATTAGACATAAAATACTAAGAAGGTCTAAGTTGGTAATATAAATGTGTTTTCAGAGTCCATTATATATAAAATATCATGCTTTATACAGTGATCAGTTATTAAAAAATTAAAAGAAAAGCTCCATCATTCAAGAGTACTATATCACTAAGTAATTACATATTTTACAATATTACTGACAACTAGTTGGATTGATTAATGTTTTAGAGGATTTTTGTTAGTTTTTTAAATATCTAGAAAAGCTAAAACAATTAAAAGCCTTTTACTTACTAAAGTTAGAAATTACCAGCAAGCACTTTATTAGAATGAGAATCTCTAAATTTCCCCCAAACACATCTTAGGTCATTGAGCTGCTTGCAGCTACATGCACATTTGAGTTTCAGTTCAAAAACTCCTCGCTGAACCAAATAATTAAGCAGAAGAAAAAATAAATCCAGTTTCAGTTGAGATTAAAAGATATTCCCTGTCTTGGCAACTGGATAATTAACAATTACTCAATCCACTAACTGTAAACACTAGTAGTCAATAAACTGTTCTAACTGCAAGACATGATGGCATGAGCAAGGCAGACAGACACCCAGGAAACACCCAGCAGAGGAATGCCTATAAGAGTGACCTGCCCAATACCGTGAGTCCAACTCCGGAAGATTCTTCAGGACTTCCTAAACAGCAAATCGAGGCAAAGTAACAAGCACAGCCTTTGGTGGTTGATGGTAGGGTTTCTCAAAGATCCAGGGGCCACTTGCACCAACATCACCTGGGACCTTGTTAAAATGCACCAAGGAGTGAGGGAGTTGTTAAATTCTTGGTCCCTTTTCAGGTCTGCTGAACCACAAACTATGAAGTGCAGTAATCTACATTGCTAGGAAGCATTCCAAACAATTCTTAGACACACTACAGGCTGAGAATGTCTTATCTAACAATTATTTTAGAATACATAATTCAGAATGGTTAAACAGTATTTCTCATTATGAACCAGTTACAAAATTATCCACTTGGATTTTTGTGATCAAAACAGATAGCTGGACAAAACACTGCTGAGTCAGTTAACCCACTTGCTGGCACATTTTACCTAAAAGGATGTTTGCTCTTTCCTATTACAACTTTGAAGAATGCATCTCTACCTAAGATCAGGTAACAAAGTAGAGAGAGAGCCGGGTACCCTGTCTCTACCTGAATCAGTAAAAAATAACCTTGCAGTATTCATTTTCTTATACACTCCCATGTGTAAATATGGAGAGGTAGAGATGAATAACCACAAAGCCGATTACTCACCAAAGTTACACATTAATCTATACAAAAGGCTTTAGGATATAGATAAAAGACTGATTCACAATTAATATAGTCAGAAAGATCTAATACACATTCTTTTCAAACAAAGACATGTTGTAGTCAGATATAAGAACATGAATTTGGATGTCCTGAGAGTCTTCCATACTCATACCTGAATAATTATTAAGATAGTCTAACAGAGTATGACTAAAAGCAGCTTTGTGTGTGGTTCAGACTTAGTGCCAGGTCTGGTTTCAGACACAAGCTTGCCTAAGAAAGTATCTTAACTTCTCAAGGTTCACTGCCCTTGTCTGTAAAATGGAGTAATAACAGTACCTTTCTCAGAGAGGTGTTATAGGATTGAATGAGAAAATATATAGATGCAAAATTCACAAAGTACTTACAAAACTCAACACCCCCCCAAAAAAAAGAAAGAAAGCCGAAAAACCAACCCAATTTAAAAAATGGGCAAAGGACCTGAATAGACACTTCTCCAAAGAGGACATACAGATGGCCAATAGACATATGAAAAGATGCTCAACACCACTAATCATCAGAGAAATGCAAATAAAAAACACAACCAGATACCATCTCACACCTATCAAAACAGCTGTCACCAATAAATCAACAAACAAGTGCTGGCGAGAATGTGGAGACAGGGTAACACTTTTGCACTGTTTGTGGGAATGCAGACTGGTGCAGTCACTGTGGAAAGAAGTATGGAGATATGTCAAAAAATTAAAAATGGATCTGCCTTTTGACTCAGCAATTCTACTTCTGGGAATATATCCAAAAGAACCCAAAACACTAATTCAAAAGAACTTAAGCACCCCTATGTTATTTACAATGCTTAAGATCTAGAAGCAGCCAAAGTGTCCATCAATAGGTGAGTGGATGAAACAACTATAGGATATTTACACAATGGAACACTACTAGGCTGTAAAAAAGAAAATTTTACACTTTGTGACAGTGTGGATGGACCTGGAGAACATTATACTAAGTGAAATATGCCAGTCAGAGAAAGACAAACACTATATGATTTCACTCATATGTGGAATCTACTAAACAAACTGAACTAGCAAGCAAAGCAGAGATACTCATAGATGGAAAACAGCTAGTGGTGGGGGAGTTTAGGGGGTGGAGGGTTTGAGCAAAAAGGAAAAAGGACTCGTGGACAGGGACAATAGTGTGGTGATTGCTGGCAGGGAAGGGTATAAGGGGACTAAATGGTAATGGAAAAATAAAGACTATATATTTTTTTAAAGAAAAGAGAAGATATAGAAAAATGCTTAACAACAGCACATACTAGACACTTGATAAATCTTAGTTATCATTATCAGCTATTAGAACGTCCTGGAGCAGATTGGTAGGCAGTTGGGGAAGTATGAGGACGACCAGGAAAGAGATGTGATATACATGGTTGTAAATGCAACTGCACTGTAACCTTAACTTACTTTGTGATGTATTACTCCCATTATAAAAATAAATTCTTTCCCACGTGACAGACAATGCATCTTCGCTATATCTTTGCTACAGAATTCTAAATTTCTTATAATATGGTGCTTCTTAAAAATTCAAGTTTAAGAAATACATATTGAAAATCTCTACAATGCTTATGAGCCAAAAAGCACCATGGAACATTAAAATATGAGTGATGCTAAGGTTAAAAAATCAGCTGCTAATTAAGCATATGTGCAAAAGCACCACAGAACACATACTCGAAGATAAATTATATACTTTAAGTTCAGTAATGCCACTTCAGAGATTTTTTTCTGAGCCTTTCAAATGAAGTTTCATGTTTACATCTAAACCATAATAGAACCCTAGGAAGATAGTTTCCTCCTAATTATTATTATTTTTTAATCCTTACCCAAGGATATGTTTATTGATTTTAGAGACAGGAAGGGAGAGAGAAAGGGACAGAGGGAGGGAGGGAGGAAGAGAAAGAGGGAGAGAGGGAGACATCCAAATGTGAGAGAAACATCGATGGGTTGCCTACTGTACTTACCCCAACTGGGGATCGAACCGCAACCTAGTTATGTGTGCCCTGAACAGGAATTGAACCCACAACATTTTAGTGTATGGGACAATGATCCAACAAACTGAGCCACCCAGCCAGGACAAAATTGCAACTATTTAAAAAAAAATCCCATCCCACTTTACCATGTGGTCCATAGGAGTTCCCCATGTTGTATGCTGTTCCATCTGGGTCATAATGAGGATGTGCAGTGGCTCCATTCACAGCAATGAATTTGCTCCAGTCTACCTGCAAATTTAAGACCATCAGAGACTTTTAAACGTTACACAGACAGATCTTTATTTCAATGCAGAGAGTAGACATGTGTCAAATACCATTAAAGTAAAATATGAAAACTATAACCTAAGCCCTAATATCTCACCTTTGAGAAATCAAAATCATTTTCCCACTAAAGAAAAAAAACCTAAGACCAAAAATATAAAAACAAAAACCCACCACTACCAAACAAAAAGTGGTCAAAAATGCTTATCCAATAAGGGTAATTTCCCCCCCAAGATCATAGAAAAGTTCAAAAGAATAAGAATTAAAATTAAAATGTTGGTCCAAAATATCATTTAACTTTTAATTAATGTGTTCAGCTAAAGCAGTACAGATCTAGACAATTTCCAGTCCAAGTCTACCTACAGCTAGGAAAACCAGGAGCTGGCCAAAGTAGATCTGTACTGTTGTATTTTTCCTTTACCCTAGCCTTCAGATATTAGGACTAAGGAAGAAGTCTAGAATTATGGAAAAGCAACCCCACAGGTCATTCTAATCAGGACAGAGGGTACACCATGAGTAATTTTGGTTTTGTTTGGTAAAGGTTCCTATTTTTATTCAAATATCTACTATACTGAGAACTACTTTTGAATAGAAAGAACTTTGGAGGCCTATTTTATTCATTTTTTAAACCTACATTTTACCTTTTCTGTCTTCTCCAGAGTTTCAATGTCCAATTTATTCATAAAGTTGGTCTCAGTACTAGCATAATAATCCCCCTTGTACCGCACATAGTTGACATTCGTGTTGTCGGTTATTGCTGAAACCAGATCCCAGAGTTACTTAAATACCACAATAGGAGACAGAAAGCAGTTGAGGCATCCTTTCATACCAAAAACATCTATTTCAAGGTTTATATAGATTGTTCTATATCATACTAATTTAAATAATCAACAGCGTCATGTGCAAACTCTAGGCACATTAATAGCCACTTACCAGGCAGCTCAAACTTGGACATGAAACGTTCAAAAATATTCCTGCATGGATCAGGGAGAGCCAGTGTGCCAAATTCTGAGATCACAATTCGATTATGAGCAGTGTTGGCCTTATATGTATCACTCTGTAGAAACTTGCTCTTATATGTCACTGCACCCTTCTCTATCCTAAACTGGTGAAGCAAAGCCATTCCATCAAACCAGTGATTGTACCTTCAAATAGGAGCAAACATAGAAAAACAAATATTAGCAAGAAAAACATGGGGTCAAAATGAAAGATTTCAAACATAGCAATAAAGAAATGGGATGAGTTCCCAGCACAACCTGAGAACATGAAATTAAGTGATTCTTACAATCCTTCTGACCCTTAGCCCTGCTGAAGACCTCACACTTCAGAAGGCTAAAGAAAAACCCTATGCCCGTGACTCCTAAAACAATTCTGACCTTGACCCTTGACAAGGAGTAAGTTCTGAGATATTCTAAGTTAAATAACAGCAGTCCAGAGGGTTGAAGGAAGAGACAAGAAGGGGTTTCAGTTAACTTCATCAGTTAACATCAGGGCAAAACCAATAAAAGATTGCTTACATTCCTGAGTTTAAGTTGAAACTTTGAGTTAACTTCCAGGTGGCTATTTCCATCATCTAAAAGAGACTAGCCAGGCATCACCATACCAGAGGACTTCTTGCTTACAGAAGAACTTTCCACAATCAATCCAAAGAAGCAAACACCTCACCCTTACAGACTGCATCCATACTAGAACGGAGCTGCCTTCACTTTATCCCACCCACCTTATCTGTAGCCAATATAAATTCTTACAAAACAATTTACATCGTTCTCCCTGCTGCATGTTGTATAAAAAAGCCCTTCAGCTCCAGGACAACTGGCATGCTTTTCTTTTCCACCTAGCTGTGTTGCTTGGTTAGATTTCATGCCCCAGGACCTGGTCTTTATCTTTCTAGCAATGACCCAAAAAATCCTTTCTTTTAAAAAGGATTTCAGCAGTGAAAGTTCTTTGTTTTACACCTAAGAGAACTGCATAAGAGGATATGGAATGCTTGACATTTCCCAAATTCAAATGGGTTTCTAAGATTTTAAAAATAGTTATTTTTATATCTTATATGTATTACATTGTCCATTTACTTTAAAATGTTTCAAATTTATCAAAATTATGCAAAAGTCAACAAAAAAGATAACTGCTATTACTGGATAATGATTTTTGTCCATATAATTCCACTAGAAATTATCTATTTAAATAATGGAACATTGAAAAATTCTAAGGAAAAGTTTGTGGTTTTACTTTTAAAAGGGTTTAACATCATACAGTCTTTTCATTCATGTCCTTGACAGTTTGAATTCTTAATGTCTTCACCATGGGTAAGCAGGCTATCATCACCGTCTTAAAAGTCATTTCTTTTTATTGTGGTAAAAAACACAACAAAATTTACCATCTCACCATTTTTAAGTATACAGGTTAGTATGAAGTTTGTTCACATCACTGTCAAACAGATCTTCAGAACATTTTCATCACAGTGAATTATATTTTTAATGTAATGTTGGATTCTGTTTGTTAATAAAATACTTATTAGCACAATGTTAGTACTATATATTTTTAACTTTTCAATGATATTCATTAATAATATAAATAAATAATGGTTTTCTTTTTGCACAACCTTTATCATGTATAGATATCAATATTATCCTTGCTTCATAAAAAATGGAGTGTTTCCCTTTATTTTCAATTCTCTGAAGTATCCTTTTTTAAAGTATATTTTATTGATTATGCTATTACAGTTTTCCCAATTTTTCCCATTTATCCCCCCTCTGTACTGCACCACCCAACCCTCCAGCATTCTCCCCCTAGTTCATGTCCATGGGTTATACATACAAGTTCTTTGAATTCTGTTTCCTATACCATTTTTTACCTCTCCCCATCTATTTTATGCCTACCAATTACGCTTCTTATTCCCAGTACCTTTTCCCCCATTCCTCCCCTCCCCCTTCCCACTGAAAACCCTCCATGTGATGTCCATTTTTTCTGATTCTATTCCTGTTCTAATTGTCTGCTTAGTTTTTGTTTTCATTGCTTTTCTTTATTTTTTAGGCTCATGTGTTGAGAGTTGTGAGTTTGCTGTCATTTTACTGTTCAGAGCTTCTTATCTTATTCAACTTCTTAGATAAGTCCCTTTAACATTTCATATCATAAGGGCTGGGTGATGATGAACTCCTTTAACTTGACCTTACCGGGGAAGCACTTCATCTGCCCTTACATTCTAAGTGAAAGCTTTGCTGGATAGAGTAATCTTAAATGTAGGTCCTTACCTTTCATCTTTTTAAATAGATCTTTCCAGCCCCTTCTTGCCTATAAGGTTTCTTTTGAGAAATCAGCTGATAGTCTAATGGGAACTCCTTTGTAGGTAACTCTTTCTTTTCCTCTTGCTGCTTCTAAGATTCTCTCCTTATCTTTAATCTTGGGTAACTTAACAATAATGTGCCTTGGTGTATCTCTCCTTGGGTCCAACTTCTTTGGGACTCTCTGAGTTTCTGGGACTTCCTAGAAGTCTATTTCCTTTGCCAGATTGAGAAAGTTTCCCTTCATTATTTGTTCAAATAAGTTTGCAATTTCTTACTGTTGTTGTTCTCCTTCTGGCACCCCTATAATTTGGATGTTGGAATGTTTAAAGTTGTCCTGGAGGTTCCTTCATTTTTTTTTATTCTTGTTTCTTCATTCTGTTCCAGTTGGATATTTATTTTTTCCTTTTGTTGTAAATCATTGATTTGAGTCCTGGTTTCCTTCTTGTAACTGTTAGTTCCCTGAATATTTTGCTTTATTTCACTTTGAGTATCCATTTGTTCTTTCATTTTTCAACTAAGCTCAGTCAGTTCTGTGATCATTTTGATTACCAGGGCTTTGAACTCTCCATCAAATAGGTTGGCTATCTCTTCATCGCTTAGTTCTCTTTCTAAAGTTTTGTTATATTCTTTCATTTGGGCCCTATTTCTTTGTCTCAGGGCACCTGTTAAGTTGTAAGGAGGCAGGGCCTTAGGTATTCACTCAGGCAGGGCAATAGTCCTTGTTGTGCTGTGGCACTGCCTGTGGGGGAGGGGCCAGAGAGGGAACAATGCAGCTCCCCTGCTCAGCTCTAGCCCCACTTTCCAATAAACCCTCATGTGAGACTGGGAGTTTCTCCCACTGTGGAAACCCCTGCCATAGTCCACAGTCAGCTCTGAGTCTGTTTCCATTCAGCCAGCCCCGCCCATGCAGTCCCCCACCTTGCCCAGGTTCTCTCTGTCCACTGGTCTTATTGGTCTGGTTGGTCCGGTTGACTGTTTAATTCCTTGGTTGTCAGAGTTACAGTTTGATTTTCTGGCACCTCTGGTTGTTTATTGATTTTAGATTGGTTGTTATCCTCCTTTTGGTTGTGCAAGGAAGCAAAGGGTTACTACCTACGCTTCCATCTTGGCCAGAACTGTCTGAAGTAACCTTTTGAGCTTTGAGACTATTTAATAGTTGAAGGTTTGGGAGGCTATTCTTGTGAAATAATCTGGGCCTGGTGCTTTCTTGAGAAGTACGGTAGTTCTTCAATGAGCTTCTCTTTTTTCTCTACAAAAACCGATTTGCTTAAACTTTCTATCTCTACCAGTTTTGATAACCTGTATTTTCTCAGGAAATTTGCTCTTTTAAAGGGTTTTCATATGTATTAGAAGAAAAGCATGAAAACTCTCTTGTAATTTTTTATCTATTTCAATGGTTTCTTTCCCACTGTCACTTTTTATGTAGTACATTTGTGTTTTCTCCCTTTTTCTTGATTATGTTAGCTAGTAGTTTTTCTATTTTGGCAATTTTTTCAAAAATATTAAAAGTATTAAACAGCCCTGACCAGTGTGGCTCAGAGGGTTGGGTGTCATCCCACAAAATGAAAGGTCGCTGGTTTCCTGGTCAGCGAATATCCCTGGGCTGCTGGTTTGGTCCCCAGTGGTTGGGGTGTGTACAAGAAGCAGCCTATCAATATTTCTCCTTCACATTGATGTTTCTCTCTCTCTCTGTTTCTCCCTCCCTTCTCCTCTAAAATAAAAAACAAAATAGTTTCAATAATTATTGCTATTCTAGTATAACTCCTTCCAGAACCACAATACATAGAATGAAACACAAAAAAAGTCTGGGTATAAAACCAGACAGCTTCCTCATTTAATATACTTCATCCTCTTTTCTTCCCTTCTTGTTTTTCTTTGCTATCATTTCATATTATTGACCCACACTGAAGTCTCAATCAAAATCCCTGAGTAATTTTTAACACATACTGCTGTTAAACTACATCTCTTTCATCCTTATACTTGTAAATTTTCTTTTCTTCATTCACATTTACCTTTAATAATTTTCAACTTCCTAGATTCCATCTCCCAAGATCCTTCCAGGCCCTGTAATTTCATGCATTCATTTATTCAAATCAACCAACACTTCCAGGAGCTGTGCCAAACCCCATGCTTACAGGCACATTAATAACTATGCCACAAAGTGATTACTACAGCAATGGAGAAATGTCAAAACTGCTTTTCATGCACAGAAAGGTCAACATGATGTGAGGATGTGGGGGTCAGGGAAGGGCCAAAAGGGAAGGAAACATTTGGCTGGTTTGTTAAGGATGTTTGTCAGGTGGAGAAGGGCATCCTAGGGACAAGTGATTTTAAAAAAGAGCTGTGAAGGCACATGGCATCTTGGAGGAAGAGCCAGTTAATCAATTAGTGTGGGGGGAGGCAATGATGATGGAGACAGAGGCAGCACAAGGCCTACCAGCACTTAGACTTAGGGCTTGAAGACCTTCAGCAGGAAAGCCTGGAGTTTTGAAACTGGAGACTGAAACTGTGAGACCCACCTCTTAGAAAGGTCACTCTGGACACGGCACCAAATATGGTGAAGAGGAGCATCCAGGTTGGGAGAAACAAACCAGGAAATGAGGAAACAGTTCCAGTGAGAGAGGATGAGAGCCTAAACTGAAGCTGTATAGTCACAAAATCACAAAGTCCAGAAACAAATCAGAGGTGACTGGTAAGAGAGGGTCCAAAAAGCCACACCTGAATGACTAGCTGGATGACAATGGTGTAACAGAAATGGAGGATATGTGAAGATCTAGTGTTGGGAAAAAAGCAAAGAGTTCAGTGGTGAATAAGAGTCTGAACTCTTTGTAGAACATCAGGGTAGAGATGTTCCACAGCCA